TTTTATTATTATACTTTTTTTGTTGTAGTTAATTGTGTTACACTAAAAATCCTACAAGGTCATGTTATTGGAATAATACATAAGGAAACAAGTTTACATAGTTAGTTCTTCTCGACTGGGGGCGACTCCAGCCATTGGAGACAAGGACAAAAGAAGTAGCCCTATTAATGTTATGAAATTATCAACCGTTCTACTTATATTTACTTTTGATAGTTTAAGCAAGCTATACTTTATGCTACGTGTCAACGCTGCTCAGGTGTTGATTGGATTAATTAATCTTTTGCTCGCGCTCACAACTACACCGTGACTGGCAAGCCACGCGTTGGTTATACTAGCAGAGGTAGCCGTGTGATGTCTGGTGAGAGGTATATCAAAGGTTTTATTTTTCTCCAAAATACGCTAGTGACAATATAAAGATTGATAGTATATAAATTTATTCATGCCCACTGGGCTTGATTATTTAAATAACATATTATTTATTTTATCAAAAAGCAGCAAGTGACATAAAAACATCTCGGTTAATATAACTGTGTCTATATTGAAAGTGTGTATAAAAAATGTGTGGAAAAAAAAAACCTAAAACGAGTGAGGGAATTTGAAAACGAAATGCAATTGTAGAAGTAATGTTTTACCAGTTATGAGTATAAATAGTGTTTATATTTTTGTCCTAAATATACCAGTAGTGACTTAAAGTACATACACAGTATGTATACCACATGTAATGAAAGAGGAAACAACTGGAGAAATTCCATCAGTACCCCTAGCGGCCACCCCCCACTGACTGATTTATATTTAAATCAGCACTGGGGATATTAAATCTATGCATTAACAAAAAAAACCTTCTTGACACATCCAAAATCCTTCGTAATTGTTTAAACCATATTTGACAGAACTAAATGCAGAAACACAGGAGGATTTAAAAGACAAACAAACATATTTATCTTAAATTATATGCCTCCTGTCCCACCAGTGGTACAGTAGCATGTCTGCGAACTTACAATGCTAGAAACCAGGTTTCGATACCCAGTGTGGGCAGAGCCTAGATAGCCCATTGTGTAGCTTTGTGCTAAATTACAGACAAACAAACTCACATTATGGTAGGATTTACTACTCAGAGCATCTACAGCGTCTAGCTATTTTGTAGCTAAACCTGTTGTAGTTTGAATGTCTTGTGTGTGCTTTGCCGAATCGTTAACCATGTTTTACGTCTTTAACCTAATTCTTTTATCTTAGCAATCATAAATACATTAATCACTTTGTGGACAGTAGTAACGTATCAATAATTACGTATTAACGTATCAATAATTATATCGTGGACAGTATTAACG